CGCCTGTCCCCATATGCCTTCAAATTTGTGACACTTAGGAAATACATTTAACCTTTCTGACCCTCAGATTTTCTCCTAGGAATACTAACCCCGATCTGCCTCACATAATTGATGCAGGGGTGCTTGAGCTCTGCGTGGGAGCATTTATAAACTGAAACGGTCACCCCCTGGATCAGATCAAAGCATGTTTCAGTATATGGGTTAGTAACATCTTCACATACGCTTGATACCTGAGACAGGGAAAAGGTGACAGAAGCAGTGGAAAAAAAAATTAAAATTCAATGACCCCATGGGTTTGTTTTTATTTCCTTAAAAATATTAAGTGGTTGGGGGTGGGTGGGTTGCAGTTCAGTAAATAACTTTGAGACATGTCACACTTGATGTCGAAAACTTGGTTCTCTGAGAGCGCTCTTTTTTTCAAAAGGTGATATGACAGTGTCTTTTCCTCAACTCAATAATACACTTTAACAAATATCAACTTCGCAGCAATGAAGGGGGAACCGTGAGGCACGTAGGTTAAGTAGAGGTGGTTCTTGTCATGAAGGAGCTCGCCGACAGACTCAGCACTAAAAATTCTTTCTTTAGGTGATTATTCCAGTTAGTAGCAGGTACCATTTTCAACCGCTCTCCTATTTTGTGTGCAGGAGTCCCTTAAAAAGAAGCTGGCTTTTCTAAAGGTCTTTCTTCCTCCTTCCCCGCCCGCTACCCCCAACCTGCATCTGACCCTCTGTCCCTCCATTCCTTCCTACCTATGAGCCATAATGTACTGAGCAATTGCTGTGAGCCAGCTGCCATCTAGAGCTGGAGGATACTATGGCTAATAAGATAAAGTCCTTGACCTTGCGTTATTAGCATTCTGGACGAGAAGTTTTCCTTCCTAGCCCAAACTCTATGTGCCTTAACTATAGTAGTACTCTGAAAAAGAAAGTCTGTTTTGAATAATACTCTTGAAGAAGTTAGATTAAATAAATCTGTCAATACACTGGGGCGTTGCTTGAGTCTGACCTTTGAAATAAGCAACAAAAATATTTTTACTTTATGTATAATACCTTAAGTATATTTATAGTGTACCTTTCCTGTGCACGGCTCTAAGCATCTCAAGATTTATGTGATAGAGAGAGGAGAAAATCATCTTCCTGTGATAGATATGGAAAACAAGTTTAAAAAAAAAACCCAAGTGACAAATCTCTGTAGGGTTGTCAACTTGAGGACACTTGTCAAGCAGGATCCCACAGGAGTCATCTTATTTAATTTTTTGTCAACAACTTGGTTAAGTGGATTTTATAAATGATTCAAAATATGTCTGAGTGGCTGGAACTAGAAGCAAAAAGGGTTTTTAAAACAACCTTGACAGCTTTTCCTGCTGACAACATCAGGGCAAAGATGATGAACGCTCCCAGAGCGATAGGTCCTTCCTCACCAGGGAAGAGGACTGTGTGAAGGTTTAAACAGGGGGAGGCCAGCCAGCTGCTGTCTAAGAAGATGATGTTCAATCAAAGATGCTAGAAGTTTGAACTCAGGAGAAGGAAAAAAGAAGAAAAAAGTCTGGGAGATAAAGCCAGGTCCATGCTTCATAACTTTGGTTTTATGATGAAACAGTTAAAATATTGATGTTGAAATAACCTTTAAAAAAACGGGGTGTCTTAGTTGTCAGTTGACAGCTTTTCAGCTCCAAAGCCACACCTTTCATGGCCATTTGTGAAGCTGGAGCCTGTGGACATTTCTGCCAGGTGGCACAATGCTGAGGTTTGTCAGGGAGGGTGCTGCCTGAGCCTTACAGGATGAGGTGGCTTCTTGTCCTGGTTCTGGTGTTTTCCTTTCTTCCTGTTCCTGCAGCACATGGGACATCCTGTGGCACTCACCTCAATGAGTTCAGCAGGACCCTTACAGGTGGTTACCAGAAAGTTCTACCAGAGCCCCAGTCAGCTTCCTAGAGAGTACAGTACCCCCACCAGCAGCTTCCTGATGAATTGGCCAGTGTCCCAGCTGGACCCCAGAGGGTGGCTCATAGTGAGTTTTATCAACATCTCAGTAGCCGGAGGGCTGCAGCCAAACCTTCCCTAAGCCCTGAATCTCAATTTTGGGGAAAAAGGCCTTCTTCTAAATTTGTTCTTTCGTTGGGTAGCCTGTCTCAGTCCTAGGCATGAGCTGTTCCTTGTGTCTGCTCTTCTTATAATCTTGGGAGTTTTGTAACCCTTCATAGAAACTTGGTTGCTAGTTAATAGTTCTTCATATTAAACTTCCCCTGTTCAAATTACTGGGTGATTTTTGTTTTCTGACGGGACCTTGATTAATATGCTGATATCCAACAGAAATGTGCATTTATGTTCACCAAAAGCTACGTACAAGAAATTTTCATAGTAGCGCTATTCATAATAGCTAAACCCTCCATCACCAGGAGAAGAGACAGATATTGGGTTGTCGGAAAAGTCACAACGAAAAACATAGAAAAAATACGTCATGACTTTTCCGACAACCCAATAAATTGTGGCATATTTATACAAGGGAATGCTATACAGTAATGAGAATAAATAAACTATAAATACAGGCTACAACACAGAGGAACTGACAAACATAATGTTGAGTGAAAGAAGCAGAAACAAAAGAAAATATTCTGATTCCACTTGTGTAAAGTCCCAAAACAGCAAAACTAACCTCTGGTGCTAGTAGGTAAGAAAAGGGGTTATTCCTGGAGGGGATTAGGGATGCGAAGGGGGCCCAAGGAGGTTCTGGGGTGCTGACAGTGTTTCCTGGCTAGGGTACTGGTTCTACATCACTGTTTATGCAAATTCATTGAGCAGTGCATTTCTGATGTTTACATTTTTTAAATTAGTCAAGCTGAAAAATATTACATATTTATTGAATTTATGAGGTGTGAAATATTTTACTCAAATAATGAAGTCAAGCTCATTTATTCATTCATTCAACAAAAACTATATGTACATATTACATACCCATCACTGTATATGATGCTGAGGATCTGGAGATGAATTACTTATTCTTGGTTCCTGTCCACAAAGAGGCACAGTCTAGTGGGGGTGAGTGACATGAAAACAGATAACTACAATGCAACATGATTCCTGGAATCGTTTAGGTATGAATGGAGTGCTGGAGACATGGAGGAGGGAGCCATGAATGGTGCATTGGAAAGCTACACAGAAAGCTTTTGTGAGCAGAAAGATCCCTTGCTCAGGCATCATATTGGTGAAGATGTCAAACAAGCAGTGGGAAACTTTAAGATGCAAGGGAGACTGGGGCTGTACATATATGTACAGGTAGGATCACAGTTACATATGGTGATGGTTGAAGTTATGGAGATGAGATCACCTATAGCTAGGGTTCAGGGCAATAAAAAGAGGGGAGAAATGATGGAATTTTGGAAGGGGAATTCAGTGGGCAGAGGAGGCTGAAAAAGGAAAAGGTAAGTCAGAGAAGTAGAAAGGGAAACAGGAGATTTGTGTCTTATAACCAGAGGAACAAGAGGATGTCAGGAGAATAGAGCTTTCGTTGTCAAAACTACTGCAAGATCAGGTAAGATGAGACTGTGGTACATTAAGTTCTCACGTAATGTCATTGATAAGTTCTTGGAAACTGCACCTTTACATGAAATGGTGTGTAATGAAACCAATTTTGCCATAGGCTAATTGATACAAGCAAGACTTAAATTCACAAAAGGATGTTATTTGAAAACCTGCTGTATATGGTTTTGACAATTAAGAGGTCAGTAGGACTCTAAATTGAGACTATTTTTAAAAATCTCGCATTGGTCAGAGTAAAAAGGAGAGACTGTGAATATAGATTACTTTTTTAAATTTTTAAAAATTTTTTATTGGGGAATTGGGGAAGGGGAACAGCGTTGGGGAATCGGGGAAGGGGAACAGACAAGTTGCTGTCCTTTTGTTCTTCAGTCTAGTTGTGGAGGACGTCGCTTCACTGGCCCATGTTGGTATTGTGATCATTGCGCTCTTCCCGGGTGAGGCAGTCACTCGCTGGCCATTGGACGGCTGCTCACGGCGGCTCATGGCAGCTCACGTAAGCTCACTCCTTCTGCCAGGCAGCCCCACTGCAGCCTACACCATCGCCAGCGACTCACAGCAGCCCAGCTCCAGGTCGAGCTGTTGTTCAGCATCTTAGCTGTGGAGGCCAGCGTCACTGGCCCTCATGTGGGATCCGAACCGGGGCCCTGCTGCTCAGAGCTGGCGTCCCAAGCCAACTCCTAACCAACGTGCCACTTGGCTGGCCCTAGATTACTTTTTAAAGATACTTGGTGGTAAAATGAAGGAGAAAAATAAATCAGTTTGACATGATAGTAGGCTAAGGGGAAGTGGGGAGGGGAACGGGTGGCAGGAGGTCTCTGAGCCAATGGGAGAGGTGGGGTAGAGAAGTGTCCAGAGTCAACTGTTTCATAGGCATCTGCTCTTCAAAGTGTGGTTCACAGACCAGTAGCATCAGCATCACCTGGGAACTTGTTAGAAAAGCAGAACCTCAGGGCAAGCTGCAGGTGTAGTGAACCAGAACCCGCATTTTAATAAGATTCCGCTGTGATCATAGCATTACTGTTCCCATCTTTACCAATGATGAGATTGAGGCTCAGAGAAGTTGCTTGAGATCGCAGAGCTGATGAGTAGCTGAGCCAAGATTCAATTCCAGACCTTCCTGAGTCCAACGTACTTTTCAAGCGGTAGGGAAGTTAAGTTCAGAGGAATTTCTACTCTCACTCAAGAGAATGGTTTCAGATGCTAGAACGCCTCCAACAATCAACCACAGGCCTGTAGCTCTAGTGCCGCCAGCTGTGAGTTTGTTCAGTGATGGACAAATCCCTCTCTGAGCCTTTGGCTTCCTAAGGAACAATATTGACAGCGTTAGAACTTCACTTCCCAGCAAGCCCCGCGGCTTCCATCGCACGACACATGACGGGCACCCAGCCCCACCTCTCTGGTGGAGCTACCCAGCAGAGGCGGGACACGTCCCAGCCTGACGTAAAGGCGCGCGGCATCCTGGGATATGTAGTCTGACCCGGACCAGGACGCCCCCTCGGATGAATGGGGCCGGGGCCGACTGCGAACTACAGCTCCTCGGCCGGCGACCACGGTGGCCCCGGAGCAGAGCAGCGCCCCGGGACGGTAGCGATGTTCGGTGCCGTGGTCGAGGCAGCGGTCCTGCTTCCTGGGGTAGCGATCTAGGCGGGCGCTTCCTCTGCGAGCTTGCTCCCCTTCCCTTGCGCTGGCCATGCGCCCAATCTTCGCGGTGGGCCTGGTGTTCGCAGGCTGCTGCAGTAACGTGATCTTCCTCGAGCTCCTGGCCAGGTGAGTGACTCCCGCGGGCCGCACCGGGGCGCCCCGCACGGCACCGAGAAAGGCGTTTCCGCGCGTTGGCCCCCGGACCGACCCCGAGCCGCGGCGCGCTGAGACCGGGGTGGGACGGGCTGAGCCCTGGGTGCGCTCTGGGCTGCCTGGGACCCTGCTGTGCCCGCTGCTCCATCATCCTGCGCACCACCCAATAGTTTCACAGCATCCCTCGGAGGGGGACACGGGGCGTTGCTGTCGTCACCCCTTTTGCACACACTGGGGCGGGGGCGGGGGGGGGTGTTGAGCCGAGAGAATGTCTCACGTGACTGGTCCCAGGTCTGCCGGGAGCTCTTGTCTCCATCCTGTTAATCATGTCACAAAGCTTTTTGATTTATCAGTCAGTCTGATTTCGCACACGCTGCAAAGAAAGTTTCATGTGCATTAAAGCGGCCCGCAAAGCGTTTGTTTCTATTAACGCTTGCTTGTTTATGAGTTCTTTGCCCAACTATGACTCTTAGTGATGTAATAGAACCGATTCTTTTTTTATGCATAAGATCGGTCTCATTGACCAGAGAGAGCATTGCCAGCTTTCAGATAATTTGTCTTTACATCGAGAAGCGTGTATTTTGAGGTGTAACTTTATAAATTAAGAATTGGGCTGATAGAAGAAGGGCGAAGCGAGTCAAGGGGGCTACAAATGGAGGCTAGACTTCAGGTGGTGAGCACGATGTATTACACGCAGATGTCAGATTCTAATGGTGTACACCTGAAACTTATATAATGTTATAAACCAATGTTACCGAAAAAAAAAAAAAAGAAGGAAGGGAGGGAGGAAGAATGGCTAGGATACCATACCAAAGGGAGGCCAGGTTGGCTTTACTGAGATGGCACACAAATAATGTTGTGTAATAATGTGCAAAGTTCAGTGGGTAGAAACTTGCAGAAAAGACAACAGGTGGACTGGAAAAGGCTTGGGACTAACAATCTCAAAATTATGAGTTTCAGTCTTGGCTCTGTCACTCCCCCCCCCCACGCCTCCCCCACCCGGAAGATGAGCATTTCTTCATAAAACAGGTACACTAAGAAATGGGATTTTACAGAGTTTATTTCATCCCCCCCCCCACGCCTCCCCCCACCCCCCACACTGTGTGACCTTTTAAAGTCACTTAGTCTCTCTGGGCCTCCTTTTTACTGTTGTAAAATACTATATGATGCTGTCTATTGCCATGGTTCCGAATCTACATTTTTATCTCCATGCCCATCAGAACAATCTTTTGTACAAGATAGGTCAAGAGTTATAATCTCTGTTTTACTGAAAATGAAACAGGTCCCAAGAAGTTAGATGATCTTCTACTACTTGCAAGTGGCAGAGACAGATATCTGAACTCCTAGTCCAATACCTTTTTCAGCCTCCCTGTTAATTTTGAACTTGAGCAGGCTTTAGGTTTTTGGTCACCCCGTTCCTCATGCGGCGCCCACTTGAAATATATTTTATTTTCATGATACCACTGATTACCTCATTCTGAAGCACCCAGTTTAAGGTAAACTCTGTGTGGGGTTCATTTTTGCTGTTACAGAGCTTGGAAGTTTTTTATGCAGAAAGTGTTAATAAAGATCTGTCATGTGTCACTCTTGAGAGGAGGTGGTGAGGGATATGAAAATGAAAAAAGAAGTCTATCCTGCTGTAAGCTGGTACATTTCAAAGGAGGGAATGTGATTTTAAAAGATTTTTTTAAAAAGGTGATAACATCAGGCCAGCCATGGAAATGAAGGACAGAGAGCAATAGTGTAATATTTTTGCTGGATATGACATTACATTAAATCTTGGCAGAGGCTGTGTGAGGTCAGTGATGCTAGCAGCTGAAGGAACTCTTTACTAATTAGGAGCCCTTGGCCAAACGACTTGACCTCCCCTAGTCTGTTAATTCTTAACAGTGAAAGGGTGTGTGTGTGGGGGGTGGGGGCGGTGATGGCTGTCCCAGCCTCAAATGGTTTTGAAGGACTAAATGAAGTTCATGTGCAAAGCCTGAAGCACACCCCTAGTGGGCTTCCCCTCCTCTCAAACAATTTTGTTTCAATACAGGTATACCTTGCTTTGTGAATTTGTTCCTGGGAAGTGGTGGATAGCTCTAACTTTTTACGGAATGTTTTCCTGCATCGTGGAAATGTCTATTTAGGACACTTTGAATAATTTGTAAATAAATCATCACTCACTTATCTTCTTTGCAAATCTGGAGTTTTGCATACAGCAGTGGGTTTTCGTAAAGTGGTGAGGGGTACATTTATTAATTGAATGACTGGTACACCAGACCGCATAGCAGCTTTTATTCCTGATTTGCTTGGGCAACTCACAACTTCACATGCTGCAGATCAATAAAATTAGAGCTGGTGGGACTAGATAGTCTTTACAGTTTTTTTCTGGTTTTGGCCTTCTCAGAATTTGTGACTTTATCTTGGGACGTCACTGGGGAAAGCTCATAAATTTTTACAGAGCAGGAACTGTGCTTTTTATATGGCTTCCTTGGAACCAGTGGGTGGCAAATAGAACACTAGCTATAAATGGGAACGCTAAAGTGAAGGGCAGAGAGAAGCGAACATATTTAACCATTTTCTCCAAATTGGAAAACAAATTTAGGCTTTTATTATGTTCATACCTATAATTGGGACCTATAATAAGATATAGAGCACAATGCAGTGTAAAAAAGATGGGAAATGGTGAATGAGTGCCTTGATCCCCTCCTGAAGGAGCTTACATTCTTGGAAGCAGGATATGCATCAGCTTGGGGGGTACCCTTTAGCTCGGTTGGTTAGAGCGTGGTTCTGATAACACCAAGGTTGCCTGTTCACTCCCCGCATGGGCCACTGTGAGCCCCGCCCTCTCTAAAAGAGTCAACTATGACATTGTAGCGTGAAAGCAGCGTGTAACCAGTGACCATGGCTGTTCCCCAATAAAATTAAAAAAAAAAAAAGTTATGCAGTAGCTAACTGGGCAGGGTCTTAAAATGGTCTTACATACTGAAGACAATCTGAAACATTTCCTTATTCCCATTTTATTTTTCCATCATGTGCCTAATGCTGAATCGAACAGGAAAGTTTCCTAAATCTAGAATAAAGTTACAAAAGGCATAAACTATCTGCCCAGCTCTTTTTCTTCAAAGTTGCTTTAAAAAAAACAAAACCAGACCGGGATCTTGCCAAAGAGAATTCAAAGTGAGAGAAACTGGTAATTCCCAAGGAATGAATTTCAAGAAAACAAGTGATTTAGGGAAAAGGGTCCAAGTTTTTACTCTAAAGTTTTAAAAGGAATTATTAAGCTAAAATAATTCCATTGGTATCTATACAACAGTGTGTTCCTAAAAAGCCCTGTAAGTTGATTTTTAAGGAATTGAATTATATGCGCATATAAGATTCATTGAAAAATCTTATGGAAATAGAGACAAAGTAGATTAGAGTTGTCAAGGGTGAAATGGGGAGTGATTTCTAATGGGTGCAGGGTTTCTTTTGGAGGTGTCCTGAAATTAAACAATGGTGATGGCTGCACAACTCCAAATATACTAAAACCACTGAATTATAAATAATAACAATGATGGCAATGACGGTGATGATGGGGGTCTGCAAACACCATGTATTTGCCATGTGACCCTGGGAGACTTACCGAACTCAGTGCCGTGTGGGCCTCTTTGTCTTTAGCAATGAAATGGGGCATAATAATACCTACCTTCAAAAAATAAAGATAAAATTAAAAGTTATTATGATGGCTTTTTAAAAATCTTATGGAGAGTACACTCGTAAAGTGAATCATGTTTTGAAATAAGTTGTTTCTTTATAGCTTTTGTACAACCCTCATATTCTGAATCATGTTTGCTTAAAGGGAGGTGTCCCCCCATTCATTCAGGTGTTGGAGTGAAGGCCAGACACTGTACCCTGAGAGTGGGGGCACTCAGGTAAATAGGACATGGCCGGTTGTCTAACCGTTCCTCTGTGGCGCTGGGCTCTTACTGTCTCGTACTCCTCGGGTGGCTCCCTCATGATACTGTCATCTTCTTGAGAGCAGAGATCAGGTCCGTTCACCCTGGGAGCTCCCTGACAGCTAGCACCTAACTTGATGCGCAATACATTCTCGATCATTGCTCTTTAATTGAATTGACCTAAGCTTTTGGTAAAGAGAAAATGGAAGGGAATGCAAGGAAGCTTCCTGAGCTCCTTTTGGGCTAAGTTTGTGCTTGGCACTTTATATTTTCTCCTTGAATCCTCACTACAGCATTAAAAAATGTCACTTCCATTACTAGAATTCAAATCAAAGACCTTCTAATATGCAAGATTCTAAATTCTGGTCGTCGCTGCGTGGCGGGCGCTGTGGGAAATGCTTTTCAGGGACTGGCTTGTTTGCTCTGCAGTAAACCAATGAGATAGGCCCTAATAAATAATGTTCCCATTTTAAAGATAAGAGAAGTAGATATTGAGAGAGTAATTAGCTTCCGCTGTCACAGGGTAAGTGACAGACCTGAATTCTGCATGTCACTGTGTACTTTTAACCACCAAGGAACACAGTGGTTCTCAACCCAGCGTCAGCACACAAGAATGAGGTGTGCATCTTACACCTGCACACCCTTCCCAGCCCTTCCCCAGGTCTACGCTAGTGGTTCTCACCTGGCCTCACTTTAGAATCAAGTGGGAAGCTTTCAAAAATAGATTCCAAGGGCCAGCCGAGTGGCTAGTTGGTTAGAGTGAGAGCTCTGAGCAACAGGGCCACCGGTTCAGTTCCCATATGGCCCAGTGACTGTGCCCGAGCTGAGCTGCCACTGAGCTGGTGAGAGAGCGTGCTCTTAACAAGGTTGCTGGTTGACTCCCACATGGGATGGTGGACTACGCCCTCCACAACTAAGACTGAAGGACAACTTGACTTGGACCGATGGGTCCTGGAGAAACGCAATGTTCCCCTTCCCCAATTCCCCAACACTGTTCCTCTCCCCAGTTCCCCAATAACATCTTTTTAAAAAAAGTACAGATTCCAGGGCCCTACCCCAGACCAATCCAATCAGAACTGGGAGGGAAAGGCTCCCCAGGCGCATGGGTTTTAAAGGGTGGCCTGGCCAGAGTCAAAAAGCGCTGTGTTGGGAATTATCTAGACCTCAAGTTCTTTCCCCTGTCACTCATATTTAGGCTAATGGTTTTAATTAGCTCCTTGAATGAGGTAAATGTCTTACATGATTATTTATGGATTCCTGCAATGTTTAGCCCTGTCCCTTGAACGTAAGAAGTGCTAAAAGAAGTCGTTAAATTGAATATAAAGCAGTTTTCAAGGAAACCTTCATAGGCTATAGATCCTTATGAGTAGCAACTGTTCTGCCTCCGATGGTAACCATAGCTCGCCCGGAATGGTGTATGCTTGCAGCTGCTTATTTTTATGCCTGGTGGGTGTATCTAAGAATTTGTATAGTTGGCACTGTTATTTAATATTAATACCACCAATAGAGAATGGAGTGTTTTTTTGATAAAAAGCATTATATTATCATAATACTATGGTTAAGTCCCTCTAGTCACTAGCTTTGGGTAATTGTCTTGAGTGAAGAACATGAAGGCTGTATGTTGTAATATGGGAATATTGGTAATAGGGGAACTCTGGAAGCTTCGGGAAAAGAAAGACAACTGCTCACTTTGTACTTTTTCCAGTGATTGAACGGAGCCTAATGGTCGACAAGCTCAAGACAATCAGACATTTTAAGGAACTACGTAATTTTCCCAGAGGGCCGCAAGAGGGATGTCTGAAGGAATATTTCTGCCTTGTCAGTGTGTTCCTAGCAGTCACTGAGAAAGACTCCCTATTCCTTACACAGATCACTGCTGAGGTTTGACTGCAGTTGAGGAACATGTGTTGAGTGCCTCATACATTGTGTTAAGTGCTGTGAACAGCAGACTACAGCTGTGTCCTCAATCTTTTCATTATTACTTCTTACACCACCCACCACCCCCACCAAAGGCCCTATAATCATCCCCCCACAGATATACTATGAACGGGTTTATGTACAGTATGTATAGCTGTGCTTTATACTTATAAAAATAGTAAGAGTCCCCCCTCGAATAACCAGTTTTTTTTGGGGGGGTGCTATCTAAGGTACTGTCCCTGTCATGAACACTGGGTACGCATTTTGATTGACAGCAGCCTCTGAGATTCCTGGTTTGGAGGATATGGAAACATTCTCAGGAGACCTGAGCGTATTTCCATCCTTGGGCTTTGCTGCCTAGGCCCACTAGGGTCCTGACTGAAGCCTTCTTGGTTAAGTGAGGATCCCAATCAGAACATCTGAGCTCAACGTATGAGCTCATGCGTTGACTAGGAAAGTTGTATCGTAGATCTAGGAACGAGTGTATCGGTGATTCTTACTCGTGGCCTGCTGCACCGACGGAAGAGGGAAATAGGAGCGCTTGACGTGCTCTGTGAGGCACACTGCTAAGTGTGCGTGACCCATGGGGTATAAAAACATGGAAGAGGGCGGTGGGCAACGGAAATGTAATCCCCCTGTTATTTTGAACTATCAGTGTAACAAGTCCTGGTGGCTTTTATCTCAGTTCTTGTGCCTTTTTGTTATTCACTACACAGGAAGCATCCAGGATGTGGGAACATCGTGACATTTGCACAGTTTTTATTTATTGCTGTGGAAGGCTTCCTCTTTGAAGCGGATTTGGGAAGGAAGCAGCCAGCTATCCCAATAAGGTAAGGCTCATTGAAGTCGCTTTCAGCCTTTGTCTTTCTTTCTTTTTTTAAAGTTAAGCGCTTTTGTGGTACTTATATAAAAGAAATATGAGGCATCTTTTTATAAGATTTGTATCAAAGGTATCAGTAGAATAATAACTTATTTTCTGACTTTAATATGTTGTGAAACGCCAGGGAGCCTGTATTTAGAATAAAATTCCTGCCACAACACTTAAATAACTATGATGGAGACAAAAACGTATATAAATGTGAGTGTGTGTGTGTGTGTGTGTGTGTGAATAGTAGTATATGGTCAGTTAAAGGCTTAGTGTGGCTACCAGTTTTTTGAAGAGTTCTGTGTGCTCTCCTCATGTTATCAAATATGGTCAGGGACATATCATTGTTCCTTTTAAAAAACAAATGGCTTTGTTTTTTAGATCCTACATAAAGTAAAATTATATGGTGTTTGTCTTTCTCTGACTTGTTTCTTTGCACAATATCCTCTAGGTCTGTCCATGTTGTCGCAAATGGCAAGATTTCATTCCTTTTTATGGCTGAGTAATATTCCATCATATATATATGTATCACATCTTCGTTATCTAATCATCTATTGATGGGCACTTAGGTTGCTTCCATATCTTGGCTATTGTGAATAATGCTGCAGTGAACATAGGGGTGCATATGTCTTTTCGAATTAGTACTCACAGATACGGAGAACAAATTTGATGGTTGCCAGATGGGATGGGGTTTTGGGAGGATGGGTGAAAAGGGGGATGGGATTAAGATGTACAAATTGCCAGATATAAAAACAGTCACTGGGATGCAAAGCACAGCATAGGGAATACAGTCAATAAAATTGTAATAACTATGGTGTCAGATTGGTACTAGACTTATCGGGGTGAGCACTTCCTAAGTTATATAAATGTAATCACTATGTTGCACACCTGAAACTAACACAGTATTGTGTATCAACTGTAATTGAAAAAAGTGTTCTTAACTTGAAAAAAAAAAAACGAATGGCTTTTGGAAATAGAGGTGGTAGTTACATAACATTGTGAATGTACTAAATGCCACTGAATTAACTTTAAAATGGTTGATTTTATGTTATGTGCATTTCACCTCAATTAAAAGAAAATAATTGGCAAACTAAAGCAAAATTGTTGATTCCAGACCTCCCCATCCGTTAGTCCAAATTTGCATAATTGTTCTCATGGGGCCAAGTAGAAAACAGCAGTTCTTATTATAAGCAACGTATCGAAAACTCAGCATTCTTGCTGTGAGACTTGAAATAAACGTATAATTCATCCACTTGTGAGTATTTAGTATGATAGTGTCACTTAATCCCGTTGAGAGGGACATTCTGGTATGAGTGTATCCAGGGACTGGTGAAGGCCCAGACTTGCTGATATTATTTTGCAGTGTTCCTGAGTAGTTTACTATAGAAAATCTGGCCGAATTTTGTTATTAATATTGTATTTTTAAACTACCCAGCGTGATGGTAAATATTCTGAACACTTGTTTCTTTCCAGTGGCTTTAGTATCTGCTTAAACTTTTTGCTGCCAAGATCATCATTTACCTCATAGTGGGAGCTGTGGCATTTTTCGGTTCCTCTGACCCTTTCTCTTGCCGCCCTGTCTCTTTCCGTCCTGGCTGCCATCGGCACAGTTCAGGAACATATTCACTCGCATCCTAACGCCTGTAATAATCTAGTGGGCCGACCTCCTGCCTCTCACCTCCTCATCCCTCCATTGTAGCTTGCTCCCTTTGTATCATGGCGCGCTCTCTCACAAGCACTCAGGGGTCACCATTAGGATCAGAGCGAGGCCCAGAACCCCTAACCTGCCCTCTGAAGCTCCCCAGGATCTTGCCCTAACCGCCGTAGCCCCATGTGTGCCCCATCTGTGCTGGCTTTTTATTTTCTATCTATGAAGCTGTATCAGAATCATGCTCATGTCAACCATCCCCACCAGCGCTTTCTCGGCAGTGCTCTGTAGGCAACAGTGTGGGATATAGTTGGAATTCATTATCCTGAAAAACCTTGATGAACTCACTTTGATTTCTAAATGGCATCTTTTCAAGACAGTTCTAAGAACACTTGGCAAGAAACCTTGTGAAGTGGCCAGTACGGTGCTATTTCTCTGCTGGGAAACAGCTATGGCCAGTGATTTTGCACGTGTGTGAGACTTCTTCATTCACCACACAGCTCCTCAGACTTTCCAGACTGTGTGAGGTGAGCCCTGGCGTTGCTGCCTGCTGGGCATATAGGTCCATAGCTAACCAGCAACGCAAAATAGGCGCTTGCTGGGGAAGATAACGTGAGACTTGGTGCTATCACATTCTTCGATGTGCAAAGATGAGGGAAGAGTGGGGTTCTGTGGGCCAAGATCAACATGCCCTGAAGACTACACTTGTTTACCTTTCCCCTGCATTCTTCAACCGTTTATTTTAAATCTTGTTTTTTCTCCTATTGAATGTAGTAGGTTCAATAGAATGAAAGTGCTGATATTCAACCCTTTTTGACCTACAAAAAAATTTTTTTTTTTTAAAGATTTTTATTGGGGAATT